AGAAAGTACAAGCTTGCCCAAATGCCACATCATAAGCATCATGTGTAGTTCTGGTTCCTCCACCTGGGAAAGGACATCAAAACTGAGAAAAGTTCAGAAACATCTGATAAAGATGATGAAAGGTTTGGAGTAGTTTCCATACAGGGAACAAACAAGTAAGCTAGGACTCGTAGCTTAGAAAAAAGATGACTGATAAAGGATATGACAAGAAGACAGTAAAATCACAAGCCTTCTAAGAAACTTGTCAGTGATCAGTTGCTCAGTCTCTTCCAGTGTAAGAAGTGAGGACCATCAACCAAAACTATGAGGAGCCAAAATAACCAAAAGCAGGTAATACTTCATATACCAGGTAGGATCTTGGGGCTCCCTGCCACGGGGTAAGCACTAAAAGTTCACATGGTCTGAGGGAGCAACTGGCAAATTAATGGAAGAAAAAAATAAGGGACCATTGAACCCAAATACGACATCTCTGGTCCAAGAAACCGCTGGAGTCTGGGAGAACGTTCTGGACAAGGATCACTGTACATTTGCCCTGTTCTTATATACGTTGTAAGAATTGTTTTGGTCACTGTTCGTATTGGTTTTCTCTTTAGAAACAGAGAAAAGTCCATTGCTAACATACCTGAAAGCCTTTGTGTCCTGGTTCAGGCTGGAACACAGCTCATGTTTGTTTTGGTAGCTGGAGGAGAGCTGATGCACAGGGCTCTCCAGCTCCATGTGCCCTTGCCTGTGTGCGGGGGTGGGGGGAGCACAGCTGGAGTGCTGGGCCCGGATTGGCTGATAGTCCATGTCATGTGACATTATGCTCACTATATAAAGGAAGGAGAAACCAGGAGGGGCTCTCACTTCGGGGAATGTGGCCATGGCGTCTTTGCGTTCAGGACCGCTGGCCCGGAGCAGGCGGTTGTCAGTTGGCAGGTGGTGAGCAACTGTATTGTACATTACCTGTTGATACTGCTGTCAGCGTGTTGTTCTGTTACCGTTATTAAACTGTGTTTATCTCAACCCACGAGTCTCCCTTTGCCCCTCCGATTCCCTCCCCATTCCCAAGTGGGGGGAGGGTGGGTGAGCGGCTGCGTGGCGTTCAGCTCCTGACTAAGCTCAAACCACGACGCTTTGAGCTACACTAAAAGAAAACTGGAAGAGTCAATAAGTGCAAGGGATGATGAATGGAAAATGTGTTTCTAATGCTTTGCATCTTCCACTCACAAAGAGGTATAGAGGCGAGGCAGGAATGTACAGGTATGTTTTCAAGGGATGGTTCAGTGACAGAGTGCCTGGAGTTACCCATCCTGCCAAAGTCACACATGGGTAACTCATTTAAAGAAAATGACAGGGTTATAGACAAATACCCACATAGCCAACAGCCTGCTTAAACGTAACTGAATAGGAATACCAAGTGCAGAAGTAGCTTAATTTAAATTCATTTACACAAGCAGTCATACCATAAGAGGTAAACCAGATTTTAGTCAAAAAACCAATAATCAGGTCTGTTTAAGCAGCACAGAGCAACAAATTACATCATAATTAAATATAACCACGTGCTTGATACAAGGATCAGTGGCAGGTGTGGCAAATCCACCTGGAGCAAAGAGTGCACACACCCCACGAGCAACACCGCACCTTGGGGGTACGCACAGCGCCGTGCTGCCCCCGCTCCCAATGGAACAGGCCCGCAAGGTGCTCGGGGTGGGCCGCCGGGCCCCCCACACCATGGAGTGGGGTGGCAGAAACACACGGTGCCATGAACATGCCAGCTGATGGTGTCAGGGCAGTTGTGGGGTCATGGAGCGGCGGGTGCATCTGTGGTGCTGGGCTGGGGGCTGGTGACGACACTTGCCCTGGAGAGGCAGCAGGCCACGGCCGGCTGCCGAGCTCAGCTCCACGAGCACACCGCTGCTTGTTTTCTGGGCTGGACTCCTCCCCTGGAAGAAATGCCTGCACAGATTTCCCTCTGCTGCAGCCTTTGAGAAGGGTTGTGACAGGAGCTAAAATGCTTTCTTTTACTGCCAAGTCTGAAATTGAAGTTTATAGACAGGAATTTTTCAAGGGGTCTGTAGAGTTGGAGAAGTCTTGGACTTTTAATAGGATTCAGACATTTAAGAAAAAAATAAATCACCTTGGTGGCACCAGATTATGGAATATTCATCTTGCATCAAACTAAAACATAAAAAGTCTAACAAACTTCCAAAACAACAACTAACATTGAGTAAACACTGAAGAAAAAGCTACAAATAAGTATCCCATGTGGTCTCTTCCCTCCTTTCTTTCTAGGCTTTTCAATCAATAGATTATTTTCTGGAGGATCCAGCAGCTTCTCCTGAGGGCATCTCCAAGCAGAACATGAACAGACTATACATTTAGATGTAGGAATTTTTTTCTTGCTTCCCCTCTAGCACATATAAAACCCCCTGCCATCAGTGCAAACATCTACCATTCTACATTTCTAAAAAACAGCAATGTTACTAGAGAAATTTCACATTTAATAGGGACTGCTTACAAGGATGGACTTAATTCATGAACTTCAAACCTAGTGATTTTTAAGACTTCCACATTTTCAAAATTAACATGCTTGCATATCAATTCTTTCATCTTCCTTTTAAATTATTTGCACCAACCCACATTCAAAACCATCCAAGCAGAGGGTTTGGACATCAGAGCCATAGTGGCACATAGCTCAGCAGACAAACAAAACAATTTAATCAGGCTCCCAGCCTGGAAAACTAGGACAGGATTTTCAGCTGCTACCAAGAGTTTGGGGCATCTTCCTTTTGGCACTCAAGGCAAGAGTAACTGAGACAGAGCAACTGGTGTAAGCAAACTCATAGTATTAAAAAAACAAACCCCAAACTGCAGTCTCTAGAGTTTTTTTGAGATACGGAGTGAAACTGCTGATCAGCACAAGAAAATTAGGCTCCCAGTTTCTTGGCTGAAATCTCCCACTTGACAGGAAAAGAAAAACCTCCAAAAAGCTAAGAGCAAAGCAAAATTTCACAGATAATGCAGGAAAATGGGACTACTCAAAAGATTTAAGATTATGCAGATGTGGACTCTTATTCTATTACAAGTTTAAGTTATACCCAGTTTCAGTCCATTTATGATCCAGGAACCTACTTTTCTTTAGCTCCCAGATAAAAGCTTTCTACTCTCATTTTAGTCTGCCAGTGGTAAGCTCAGTCAAAAAGAAAATAATCAGGACTGTTCACTTGCTGTACAGTTATCTTTTTTTCTGATTTAATTGTCTGGATTGTCTGTATGAAAAAGTATTCTTATCAGCTTAAATTGTCATAAACTTATATCCTTAGACTCACTGACTGAGACAAAGCTTAAAATGCTGCTCAGGGCCATCAGTAGATAAGGTAACAGCATGCATAATTCAAAACAAATTCTGGTTTCTTCACAGAAGTTTTAACACTTGACCTTCCAATAATTTATGAAGATCATCAGAGCATAAAAAGATTAGATGGATTAAAATCAGCCATCCTTAGGGTTGAGTACTGCAGACTGATGGTGATGAGGACTAAAAAAAATGACACTGTTCTTTCACCCTTCTTCCATTTCAAATGCCCAATGTCAGAATAAATGCAAAGAACCAATGTTAAATTTCATGCTTAAAGTTGTTACCATTTTTCTTCCTCGTATACTCTTGAGAATTAAAAATTATGCTTTGTGTACACCTCCATTCAACAGAAAATATTGCTATGCTGCTCTTCAGCCTACGGAGCTGCCAAAAAAGCACCTGTCCAATCGCAGTGCCCGATTCAAAGAACAAACTCAAACTTCAGCAAAATACAAGGGCAAGAACTGTTTTTTTACTAACCTATTTTACTGACTCTCAAGAGGAAAATGAGTCCTGTCAATGGTTCTTCACTGCATGAGACTAGTATCTTATCAGAGGACATGGCATTATTTCACTTTTACATCTCTCCCTCAAGAATACTCCCTTTGATGAAGTAGTTCAAGGGGAGGCATCAGAAAGTCTGTTGTAGGGGGACAAGCGGATCCTAGCCACATTAGGACTTTGTGAGTTAAAATACACATGGTAAAATTCAGTTTGACTAGCAACAAGTATTTGAATCACCACTGTGCTAGTGGAGGACAATATCTTGTACCACTGGCCACTTTCCTTTCAGGTCAACTTGATACAAGTACAAAGAGTATTGCTGAAACTAAGCCACAAAGGACAGAATTTATAATATAAGTTTCTGAGGTAGCTAACTGATTTTTTTTTTTTAGTGTCAGATTAAGTACATTACTCTTTTGGACCTAAATAACTTATTTTAAACATCTACTATACAATATAAATACCATCACATTTTCTTGTTTTGTTTTTAACTATTATTTCAGCTCTAAACAAGTATCTTGCAAAAATTAAGAGATGACTCTCACCTGAAGAAATGACAGAGAAACAGATGACAGCAATAGATCTGAGGGATAGTCACAGACACTTAGATACGCACATTTCAAGAGATGAATTTGTGGCATGCTCACCATACCCGAAGATCTCGTTAATGACAATTACTAGCTGTCAAGCAATTCATCACTCTGAAGAAGAATCTCAAAACATCAGTCTCTGAAAAAATGCATTCTGCACTTTTTTTTCCCAGGATGTTGTGCACAGTTTTATTTCGAATAAACGTTAACCAGGTTCTTAGTTAGATATCCTATATGTGAATTTGTATACATACTCATGCTGATTTTCTTATCCATTAAAGAACCTGTATAAGTAATAATCAGATTGGGTGGTAGGTGCAGTAAGCAACCTTAAGAGAAAAAGTGTTTTTCTAGAACTTATGTGCTTTGAATGAAACCACAGCTTTTCCTTCTGGAGGAATTCTTGACCAGTTACATAGGCAGTTCATTTGTACATACCATTATCCCATTTCAAATACGGTCTTTAGATTTTTTCTGGTGCACGGTCCATTGCCAGCAACAGACACACAAACCCACCAGTGATATGGAACTTAAAATGGTAAAAAGACGACACACCTGAAGAGAAATCTCTTTATAGTTTTCATTTTAAAAGTAAAATAGGTGAAATTTTAAGAGAGGAACATTCCATTCCAACCGAAATTTTAAAATATACTTCCATGCTAAAAGCAAAAGTCTGGATGTGAGCCTCATGGAAGCTGTGAAGTAATAAAGAAACTTAATCTTTGACATTACTTGTATCTGTGTCTTTGCTTTCCTGGCTTACATGACTGTTGGCATTTTTACTAGAATGATCTAAATCTTCAATTTTATTTTCTATTTCCATAGCACTGCTTTCCACAGGACTGTGGGAAGATTTTTCACTTATTTCTGCTTCCATTTTTGTGATTAGATCATGTTCTTTATCTGCCACATCCATTCCTTCCTCTGTTTGTACCAGCCTATGTTGAACTTCTTCCTCTGTTTTACTTTCTGATTCCTCCTCTTTTCTCTTTGCTTTAAACACTTCAACTCCCATCATCCTCAGGTAATGAAGTCTCTCATTCTTGGGCACAAAGGCACGGAGTGATGTCTTTCCTTGCCAACCACACAGCACTACAGGACACTGAAGATCATCAGGTTTTCTACAAACAAGCAGTTACGTTCAGTCAACTATGAGAAAGTTCATTTTCAAAACTTAATTTCATGGCCATACCCTGATAAATAAGTGCACAATCTTTAATAGTGAATACAGTTTACAACTATTCATAGAAGACAAATACATTGGTCTTAACTTCAATATCCAAACAGGTACCAGCTTGTCTATAAGCAAGTAAGTAAAAAAAAAAAAAAAACAACTCAATGCTATTAAATTTCTGCAACAAACAAATTAATTTTCTGGCTCTGGTTTCAAAACCAATATAAGCAACAGCAAGCTAAAAGTTTACATTTAAAAAGTTCTCAAGGGCTTCTAATACTACTTTGTTAACAAAAATGAACAGCGAAAAACTTAACTTTTCTATTCCAAATGCTGGTCTTCACAGGGAAAGCAAACAGACAAATAAATCACATGCAATGAGATATTGCGGACCTCTGGCAGAACTAGTAGCTCTCCTTTATAAAGCTAAATCCTACAACTGTTTTAAGAATACACAGGCAAGATAGTCTCTATGCCTCCCCTTCTGTTTTTGCTGAGTGAATGTAAATTATTGTCCAAGTTTTAAAACTACATAAATGGAAAGCAACACATCTACTTACTCAGGGTCTGGGTCGTACTTCAGAACTATACTTCCCATTGCTATAGGGAAGGGGGATGGGAGGAACAAAAAACAGATGGTTTGTGGTTTGGTATAACGTTAGAATGATTGTAATTTGAAAATGTTAAAGAAAACAAGTTTTTAGACACCCACACAGCATGACCTGGTTAGTAGTTATTGCAGTTATCTACATCAGTACAGTAAACTACAGACAATACCAGTTTTTATGCCTTTTATTTTTTTTTTTTTTCCAGACCGAAGTATTTATATAGTTACAAAAGCAACTGCCAACCCTGCTCTCTCCCAAACCCTAAACAAACAAGCTTAAATACAAAACCACATAGGGGATTCATTCATTGAGTGAATCTAGAAAGGAACTTTTACTTAAGACTGAAAACCAGTCTTAATTCTTCAAGCATCCAGCATAGCGGAAATAAAAATTTAATATGAGTAGACATTGTTCCCTGTACTTAAGAAAATCAAATATGAATAACTACATTTCATATGTAAAATCATGACAAACAATTGCAGATGAGCAACAGTTTCAGCTGGAGCACTAACAGGCATAAATATCAGTAGCATATATAAAATCTATATTCATCAGATATTTTAAGTGTTGCCTCAAAGCACTGCTTCACAGAATTCACAAATTTGTTCAGTGGAGTTCATAAACTTTAAAGGCTGTGATCAGAAAGAACTACAGTTTCTAGTAGCACACTGGGTTTCAGCAATGCTTACTGACCTAATTATCAAGTATATTTAAGATTAAACTTAGTCAAAATTTTTAGCAAACACAGTTTATGTGATGGCATTTTCATTCTTCCATGTATCATGTAATAATAATTTTCTCATGGCACAAATTAAAGACTTACCCATGTCCTTGACTTTCTTCTGTGTTTCACTGCTAAATTTACTTAAGAAAGGATTCTCCTGGGTTAGCAGAATTTTAACATCTTCTATGCAGACATTTATAATCCTTGCATGAATGAATGGATAGAGAGTATAAATTCCCTGTTTAATAAATAAATATAATTATTTCAAAATGCAATCTCTACTTTTTGAAGTGAAAATGTTAAAACCAGTATGTCTTAGCTAATATCAGAAAACAATTTTCACATTTTAAACTATACTGAAAATGCAAATTGTCATTAATCTGACAAAGTTAATGCCATCTGTGCTATAGTCTCTAGAGGAAACCAAAGTATCTCCTTTGAAAATACAATGCTATGTAATTACCTCTTGTGCTAATCTGAATGCACATCCAAACTGTTCACCATCACTGTTGCGAGACCAGACTTTTATCCCTGTGTTAATAACCTGCAAGCAGCAAAGACAATAAGCATCATTAATGAGTATAAATTCTAAATTATTACTCTGAACTTTGTTCTTCCTCAACTGTTTGACTAAAAGGAGGAAAAAAGGATAATTCTGCCATAATGTTTGTTCATTTGCACTGGACATTGAATTAAATTCATGTGGAAATTCATTCAAGGGAAAAGGAGTTCCCACTATCAAAACGTAGTTCTCTCTCAGTGTAAACACCTTTTACTCCTTTCCATGCTGAAAACTGAACATGGTGAGGAAGTAGCAGTCTTAAAATGAGGGCAATGAACTATTAAGATCTAATTTTAATTGTAGTTTGCAATAGAATTTTCTGGGTGATTCTGGGAAAGTCAATCAAGGATAGGATTTTAAAAATGCACAGGTGCTTAATATTAGGACACTATGCACACTATATCCTTTGTGGTACCCAAAGTCTCACTGCCTAATATAATGCACCAGTTTCTTAAAATTTTGTCAATTATGTAGCTATTTCCTGCATATGGGATAAAAGGATAATTATTTATCCTTCTCAAAAATCTGTTGCAAAGATGTAACAAATATCCTTGGAAATTGACTGGACAAAGTCCTGAACTGTATCTGATCTAGCTTTGAAGTTAGCTCTGCTTGGGGCAGGAAGGAAGCTGGTCTAGATGATCTCATTCTAACTGAAATTATTCAATGAATTTTAAGACTAATATTTAACATTTGCAAGGCATTTTACATGGGGAGTCATATAAAAAAAAAAAGTAATTTTCCCCTTTAATTCACAAAAACTACTTCTTATCCCATTATCATTCAACTTAACTTTTGAAAATGTTAAGTTGTTGAAATAACTGTGAAACAATGTCCCCACGTAACACAGCTGGCTAATAATTCAGCTGAAGTCATCCATTATTTCTGGTAGGCTTTTAAAGCTCTTAATGCTTTTATAATTAAGGGGCTCCTAAATACAACAGTGTCAATATAAACTTATGAAGGTACCTGAAGACCACATAAAAATGCTGGTACACACATAGCAGTTACATATTCCCTTCCTCTACTTTCAAGTTCCCTTCCATCTGCCAAAAAGCATACTAATTTTAATCTTGGAGACTGTTATTTACCTCTCAAAGACAACTCCTCATCTTTTTAACAGAGGAGGGATAGAGAGGAAAACATTCATTCATACTAAGAAAAAAAAAAAAGAAGTCGGCCTACTAATCCTCTATATAAACAATAATCTCAGCTATAAAGTTCAAAGAGACATCCACTGATGCTTATGATCTCCATTCTGAAAAACTGAAGAGATGAACCATACCTTCATCTTCTCACTGTTGTTCAGAAGCACATTCCTTAGCTCCTTAGAAACCATGTACAGCTGTCTCTTCTTTCCTTCCTGAGTTCGAGTCAGTAAATTCATCTTGGGAAATGTTGGGTCCAATGCATAAAACTTCCTGTGGTCATAATACTTATTTTGATTAACTGAACAATGACATCACATACTTAAAATGCATGGGTTAGCCTGCTTCCTTGAGCTATCTCTGCAAACACTTAACACTTTGGCTTCAGAACACAAAGATCAGATTTTCCAAGATACATGACAGCAGAAAGACAAGCTAAGATACACTTGAAAATTTCCAGTGCACACTATAGTTGGCTATTTTCATTTAAGGAGAGTTTAAGTGTTGAGGAGATGGGTACTTGGTGCAAAGTTAAGGAAAAAGTTTTATGTGTGACCAACCAGACCTGTCTTTTGCGATGAACTGAACTACTAATATTCCTAAACTACTATGAATCTTACTACCAAAACAGAAACATTTTTTTCTTACTGGATAGGAAGGAACAATGGATCATCTTCAGGGAGAAACACAAAAGGGTCTTCTTTAAAACCAAACAACTTCATTTTTTTAGATGGTGGTGGTCTAAAAAGAAAATGCCATTGCATTGTCAATTTTAGTAAAAGTACTTGGTTTAAAATCAGTATATTCAGTTCATTTAGTCAACACTTGCCTTGTGGTAACGATAGGATGTCAAACAGAAAACTAACATTTTCCTGTGCTTCACTAAGATAACACTACCCACAATCTAACTTCTTAAAATAAGGAAGTGAAAGCAATGATCCAAAACAGAAACCACAAAACAAATAAAGAGAGATTTCTGAGGGAGTAATTGTAAAGATCTTCCAAAGGTTAACTTCTGAAAGTAGTTTTTTTTCCTTAACATACAAGAAAGAACTAACAGACTTTGCCAGTGCTAATAAGAAAAGTGGTTATTTTCATAACTTACTGAAATACAAAACAGAAAACATGGAATCATAGGGCAATTGAGCAAATTCATTATTAATTCTTCTGGACTGATTTCTAAATGAGTCCAATAACGAAAGAACTATAAAATACTCAGCAATTACAAAGCTGTCACAGGACAAACACTTAGACTTGGTCTCTTACCCACATACTCCTTCCTTTTTGCGTTGCTCAGTGTCTGAATTTTCCAATTCCTGCATTTTCTTACACTCTTCATTTTCAGCAAGTGTTGGTTCTTCAGTAATACATTCAGAACCATTATCTGAATTAGCTGCTGTCACTTCAGTATCTCCTGTTCTTTGTGGTAATTTCTGATGAATCTATTTCAAATTATAGTATTTTCAACAAAGTGTAAGTAGTATCTAACTTCTATGTTCTCTCTTTGCATGTGCTTAATTCTTATCAATTTGTATGTAAGTGTTTAAACAGATCCATTTAGAGAGTTAATCTGATTGCTAAGTCAAGATAAAAGTTGCATTTACCTCTAGTACAGATCTGGACAACTTCTTAGTAACTGTCCAATAAAACTATTTTTGTGCCATTTACAAAATCATGCTCAAGCACTCACAGAGAAGACTATTTTAAGTCAGGATCTGCTGCTTTCCTCCTAGTGCTCAAAGTGACACACTCATCCTGCTGCTGCACACTTTCTATAAGAGTCCTACAACATTAAACTTAGAACGGCATAAACTATTTGGATGATTCTTGCTTCTGAGTAAGTGCTTTTTCCTTATTGCCACATAGATTTTATTCATAAGGTGTTCTTAAGAGTTTGTTCATAAGGTGAAGCAAATCAGATAAATGGGAACAGCTAAAAGGGATTCACAGAAGAAATGTCTCTTAATGAAATGTCTCTTAATGATATGAACAATTTAAGAGATCAAATAAATCATGTCAACTTAAAATCCTGTTGACAGGAATATAAAGACAATTGTCAACAAACAGATTAGTCAGATGGCTGAAGCTGCTGCTGCTCTTAACAGTTTTACATCTATCGCCCCTGATGCTGATCTGCTAGACTAATCTGCTAGTGAATCACTCCTGAGCAACCAGCTACAGAGTAAGACAAACCGAAATCGGAATTAGCTTACAACACAGAAGAAAAAAGCCTTCAGCAGAGGGATCACACACAGATGAAGGAAGTGATAGCTGCAGCTGCCCAATCTAATCTGCTTCTGTAATTCTTTCAAAGCCTTAATTTTACGTTCAAGTTTTACCTTGCTATTTTACTATGACTTCAAAATTCCCCCCTCCTTTTTTTTTGCTTCTCTATTTTAAAAGGAGATTTTTAAAAAAAAGTTATTAAGGGGTTTAGGAATTTATTTTTAATTAGCATACGGAACTATAACCGAAGGGCAAAACAGCTATAGCATGTTTTCTATTATGTAAGCTTTCAAAAACATTCCATAAATGTTATTAGAAGTGAACATTTTAGCTCTTTTAAAAGAAGTTACCTTAGGCTGGCGTTTATTCCATGGCATTGGAGATTTTTTTATTAGCACAGCCACAAAGAAACCTCCTGTGTTCTGGTGATGTGGCAATATCCTAAGACTAGGTGGGGGGAGGGGGAAAAATAAAAAGGTTGCAGTGTATTCATCATCAACATTCAGGCTCTCACAAAGTACGATAAGTGTCACATTTATATTTGTTTTCAGGGTAAACTAAGTATTCCTAGTAGGATTGTGCAGATTTAGTTTATCAAGCTAGAAACAGGATCTGAAATAGAGCGTTCTGGCAAAATAACTTGCATCGGTGCAATGCATTCCTCTCACCATTCAAATGAGCTTTAGTGACTCATTTCTAAACACTATTTTTAGAATAGCTATGAAAGTCTTTCATGGCAAAGAAGTCTGTTAAAATGTTAAAGTTTTACATACTTTTCCAGTAATTTTGGCTATGTATCTCTATTGGATGCAAAGAATTTGACTTGTTTGTGTGAGTACTTATTTCTTGTAATCAGCTTCTAATAATTTCCCTCAGTTCACTGGAATTTAAATATTGTGGACTGCCACTTCACATCAAAATATACTCAGACCTACACAAGCATGGGTCTATACTGCAACACATTCCTAATCTGACCTGATTATAATATGCCTACCACCATATAAGGTAACCATCAAAACCTCATGAAACTCTGGGAGAACTTACCAACGCTCTAGATTCATTGCCTTCAGCTTCTCTTCATCTTTTACTGGAAACATAGTGGGACGTATTTGTGTTTGTCTATTTGAAGGCACATCTTTCCACTCTTCAAACCACTGTCCATCTTTCATCATTACCTTCAAAGGAGTAAATATAAATACCGATTTTATAAGTTTTAATTAAAATACTTTCAAACCAAGGTTCAGAGGTCAAAAAGAGAAGTTATTTTCTGGTATAGTAAACTAAGTTTTTTAAAGTGTATTGTTCCTTTATGCATTGTATTTATGTACTTAAGAGCAGGAGATTCTTGCCAGCAGTATCTCTTTGATCCACTTTGTATGCTTCAAAGCATGCAGTCAAGCAAAGACTGGTGCAGAATCAACTGCAATGATCTCTGGTAACCTACTAGAACATGCAGAACACCAAAATCCAAAGGAAGGATAGTGGTGGAGTATATATAAGATTAGTAAACCATCAGATTTAGGATATTCTTATTTCTTTTTCTCCATGAGACTGGCTGTGAAACACTGCTATAAGCAGCTTCCAAGCAGTATACAAATGGGCTACTGCTGACTAATAGAGCTTAAAAATGAGGAATTCCAATTTTATTACATAATAAAGATGCAACAGTACAACACAACAGCTTGGTAAGCATAGAACCCCATGACACAGGTGTACATAGGTCACAGATAGAGATGTATTCAAGGAAAGTTACTGAAGGAGCATGTCCCCATGAATTTTATAGTGTCTGTATCTTTATCCAGGAATCAGAACACATCTATAAATCCACTGTACAGACATAACAGTGCCTCATTCTGTCTAAGCATCAAAGCTTTTGAACTCTTAAGATACAAGCAGGTTAGAGCCACAGCTCATAGCAAGGCATTTTGAATGCTCTTTTAGCAAGAATACCAAAGTGGAAAAAAAAAATAAAAACAAGGAAAATTTGACTTCAGAGCTTTAGACACACGGTTCTGTGCTGGATGCTAGAGCAGTAAGAAAAGTCACATTTGGAGATGCATGGAGAAAATGCATAAAAATAATGACTGAAACGAAGGCCTGTTTTTGTTGTTAAGGCAACAAAACAGAGAAGTCACAGCGATAGTGACTTCAGGACTGAAAAGTACAATGAAGTGTTTTCAAACATCTCACTGTGATTGACTTGAAGGTTTAATTAAGTGTTCTACTGGAAACTGAAATGTAAGATTTATCTAGATTACAATTTCACTAAGAATGTTAAAACACAGATTTCAGCATCATGAAATCTGGCATTTCCCAGACACTGATCTGATCACACCTAAAATACTGTGCCTCTGCATGTTCCCAAAATAGAAATTACTGTATTTCCAGAATTAGTATTTTAAGTCCAAATAGGCTAGATATCATACTGCTAGATGGAGACAAGATAGACTGTGATTTTGAACTGCTCTTCTTTGGAAGACGCAAGTCCAGTTTAAGAGAAACAAACAATGGGATTGATAAATAACTGGAAGTGAAAACAAGTCTAGAACTACTTTGGATGTACTAGAATAACTGCCTAACAGCCCTGCTCTGTTCAGTTTTGGTTTACCAGCCTGACCACATAATGTAACTGGTAGAATGACAGAGCATCAAAGAACATGCTGAACTCTTCCCTACTGCACATTTCACCAGGCTCTTGTTTGGGTAGAACAAAGGCTAAAAGTGTTGTGGAAGTAGAATACCAGACCTAGAGTTAAAAAGGCCTCTTCCTTCAAGACTCTAAAATAATTCATTGGAGCTTATTCATTGTATGGCTGAAGAAGAGAGTACTGAATGCTATTTCTAGGCACCAAAGTGTCACTTGAACAAAACCTTATTTTTTTTTTGCTGTTTCCAGATATTTACAGTCAACTGATGCTCAGGAATATTCAATGTAATTACTAAGTTGCAGAGCTGCCACTAAACAGATCTTTCACCAGCAAACAAAAGACTACACCAAATAAAAACAGCAGCAAGGCACGCAAATACATTCAATGCCGAGCTAGCCAATGAGGCCTGAAAAATATACAGTAGCAGCAAATAAGGGCTGAAGAAAGTCTTGCAAACTTTCAACAGATTTTATTAGTCTACTTTTAAAAATACCCCTCAGGGAGAACTATATTTCAACTGCAAACAGAGCAACAAATGTTACAGGGAATACAATATACTCATAGTGATCTTTATGTATATATTTTGTAGACTTACACAGTACAAGAAGAAAGTAAAATTGAGATCACAGAGCCACAGTTACACATTTTACCTTTATCCTCAGATAAAAGCATACAAATTAAACTTGTGGAACTGTAAGAAGAAAGAAAACAGCTACTTTCTAAGCTGAATTTCCATGACAGAACATAAGCAAATCTTTATTCCATGCATCTTGTTCATTAGCTTACACACAGGCATAAGTTTGCAGACTGCCTTTGCAAGACACTAGTGAGATGGTGAGAGAGGACAGAAAAACCAATGGTGTTGCAAAGGCATGTGCTCACAATTAAAATTTAATATGAATTTCTCTCCCTACTACCAGGATGGCCTTCTACTCTTCTTGATTATATTCTTAACAGGAAGCTGAAGAAGCTTTGGGGTTTTTTGCCCCTCCCTACTAGTCTGTTTCCAGAACTGAAATCACATAAGGCTTGGAACAAAATACAAGATTCTATTAATACTCTAGATTACTCATAACACTACACGTTTTATAGCCTATTTCCAGAAAGGGTTTAACAGCTTTTACTTCCGAATGATTCAAATGGACCAGCTAAAGAACTGCAGAATCTAAAGCTCACAGACTGTAAAGACAGGAGGAGGGATAACTTAAAAAAGTGGCTGAAATTATGCTGCCATCTACAGGCCACATGCACACAACAGAAAAGGGAATTATATTAAGCATAGGAAACAAAAGCAAAGAAAGCTAGAGGAAAAAGAGGAGAGATGCTGAGGAGACAAGAACTTACCGCCAGAAATATTTTTAGCCCTCTCACCTACAATATTATATTGTCTAAAAGTCTAAAGAGCAAATCACTACCATTACTTCAGCTGAATCTAATGTTTTGAAATGTTACACTTCAAAATTTCCCCAATTTAACACTCTATCACAGACCAAGAACTTCACAGAAATACCAGATTAAGTACCTTCCATTTTGTAATTCCTGGCATCCTCTTCAAACCTGGTAACTCAGAAGAGACATCAGCAAGTTCTAAGGCACCTGAAATCCAATTAATATAAACATTCTTGAAAACAGAATTTGAAACTGTGTTCCTTATTAACTTTTATAAAAAGTTTTCCTTTAAGTTTTAAGAACAATTAAAAACCATTGCTTTTTAAAACTTGCAAGGAATAAAATGTTATACAATTACTACTGTGTAAATTAACAAGAAAGATGATTAGAACTGTTCATAATAACTACCGAAGTTTGCAACCTATAAATTAACCAAAATATAATGCTTAGATACTTTTTGTAGCAGCTGCACAGATTAATACTCTACAACCTGTATCATTAAATGTCAGTGTTGAAGGCAAAGCAGTCACAGAAGTTTTAGTCTCATTTACTTAGTATTTCGATTTACTACACTAATTAAGTATTTTTCAGAGGACTACTCTTTTGGGATGACTAAGCCTTTTAAAATGCTTGATATATTATCATTTTATGGACTTACAATCTTAATATATTCCAGTGTGAGAGGAAAAAGAGTTTACTACTTTTTAAGTGGAAAGGAAAATTCCAAACTGTTAAACAGGTAAGTACTATCAACCTAACAGGACAAAAGGCTATGTGACTAAAATATGTCAGATTACAAGAAACATCAACAGAGTATAATTTAATATACTGAATAAAAATGTTAAGCTGTCCCAAGTCCAGAAAGGATGATATAAAAACTTACTGTTTACATAGTTGATCTCTCTGGAGAAGAATAACCTTAAAATTTCTTTTTTTGTGATTCTGAATACCTAATTATTTAACAGTTAGGTAAGCTTTTTCTCATGTTGTACACAATTGATCAACCTGTTCTGTATGACTAACCATTTACTCTTACAGTGAGAGTTTAAGCAAGTCTTCTGAATAAATGAAAAAGTGATACATGAATTCACAAATTCCAAAATGACATTTCAAATATGATTAAACTCGATGTTTGCATCTGTCCTTTGAATATTCCTGCCTACCTACAGCATGACTTCAGCTGATGCCTCAAGACTACATCAGACTGATCAGGTACTAAACAGTCTGTCAGAAGTGTTACAATTCCCAGTAGAGAGACAGGATACAAAAATGTGTTTTCCTTACTCCTTCTGCCGTAAGGTGGAAGCAATCTCTGATCTGCTCCCCAAGTAGCAGTGTAACACAGTGCTAGCCACTAAGTTAACACTGAAGAACTAACAACCTTCTGGATTGATCTGAGCAAATCTTTGAGGTACAATGCTCCTTGCAGACCACTGCATTACCTCACCCTTCTTTAGCAACACCTATGTTCAAGCCCCAAGGGTAACATTTGCTTGCTGGGACATCATAGCATCCATGTAAGCCTCAAAATACCTGCACTGCGCAAAGACAAAGTCTGAATGACACAGAGAGTCAAAGATCCTTACTTCCAAGTACTGAATTTGCCCCAGATGCTGCAGTTGCTGGCCTCTGTTAAGATCCATACTGTTACATGCTCCTATCCAAACTAGTTCTTACTGCCTTCCAGTCTTGTCATCATTAAACTTAACCCTGGCATACTACAGACTTCAATAAGACAAACATACTATAGTTTACTGGAAACATGTCTATGTTGTTCTTTCACTCGTCTGCCAAAGAAACTACCTCCAAATCAAAATGTCCTTTGAATGGAAATTGAATAGTCAGTGCCTAATTATCTACAGGCATTTTAGCTAAACTGCTGTTTCTGAGTCAATGACACTTCATGTATAATTTCAGGCCAGAAGAGTGATTGGCACAAAGAAAATGTTACACAAAACGGGCTTCTACTTCTCTACTTCCAGAATGAGCTCAGCTCCAGCAGCAGTACAACTGCTTCTGCTCTGGACAAAGCAACTTAAAGGCATGGAACTTTTCATGCAAAATCCAGTTAGATGTCTATAAACTTCAGGTTACTGACTCAGAAAAAAGTGTCCATCAGCTCAAGGCCAGAAATTTGGGCTACTAAACCATACTACCACAAACTGATGCAGTGCAGCTTCTCAGCTCATCTCAATTTTCCCACCTTTTCTTACTTCAGATGATGGAGGCTTAACTTAAGCAAGCCTTCATATGCAAGTCAAAAGTGTAAAAAAAACCCCATGATCTTAAAGACATTAAAATTCCAACCATGCCAAAATGGGGGCCAAAGGACAATAAAAGTATCAGTGACTCCCACCTACTGGTGCACAATAACATTCCTCTAACTGCTTAAGTACGCTCTGGGCTTTTTGCTCCTATAACATACAGTAGTAATGTCCCATGATGTGTTTTCCAAAGGAAATATGAATGTCAGACATGGATTGCAACCAGTGGAATAGGTTAGCAGAAGCCAGATAAACACAAGCTGAATTCCATTGATCTGTAGAAGTCTTTGTGTATCATTAACACAGCTTCTTCAGATTTTGTGTCCCCATCTGATTTAGACCCATTCATGAAGACTGCTCATATCAACACCACTGAAATCCTACCAGTACCAGAAAATTGCTGCGGTTTTGCATACTAGGAGCACATTACCTACATTAAGCTTATTTCTAGCACTATCATATACATATACCTCTTTGGGTGGAGAAAAAAATTTCTCACTCAGTCCAAGCCCACATTCTCACCTTGACTCTTTTCCAGCAGAGATGCGATCACGGCTTCATTTTCAATAGGATTCAATGAACATGTAGAATATACCATTCTCCCGCCTTCTGCCAGCTGTTCAACACCACGGGTTGCAATTCTTAACTGCAATCTAACAGAACACTCTTGGTCTAGCCAGGTATGACTCAGGAACCAGAAAGATTTGCCATCAAATTTCTTACAAGTGAGGCTATATTGCAGACACGTAACTCTCCATGGACTAAGCCAGTACTTACTGAGTTCCACAGCTGTCACCAGTACACAAATTAAAGTCAGGTTTAAAGTAACTCAGCTTAGTGCAGTCTATACTGCAGACACACTCACAATTACACCTATTTAAACAGCAATTAGGTCAAACATTAACACAACATGCATGGTAACTTTTAACACTCTGTATTTTGTTCTTTCTAGTGCCCCATCAAGTTTATTATAAAGTACTCATCACTAGAGAAATTATACCCCAAAAGCTGACTCTTATTTTCAGAAATCTAGAGCTAAAATGAGGAGCGATCTGACTATTACAAATATTATGAACAACACAGATTAGCTAGCATCGGCCTTCTGAGGAAAGTGTCACTGAGCTGGATCACCAACTTGCACCCTACTTGCATATTTACAACTAAAATAAAACATGCAATTATGAATGAGTTACCAAGCTGTAACAAGTCACCATAGGTCAGCTGTGTCACAGTAACTGACAGCATTCGCAGCTTGTTACAAACGCACAGTAAAATGTTCTAAGATTTTTCATCTCTGTTTAAATTACTGCTTTTTACCATGTACCTGCACAAGGCTAAGTACTCATTTGCCATCAGTTAACATAAATCAATCTCAGGTAACTGAAGCTGGTTATGTTTGATCTCGAATAGTCTAAAGACTTTAAAACATTACTACTAAATTTTACAAGTTTCTGTGTTTTCCAACAGTGTTTTACCTGCCTAAATGCTGAGAATCCCAACCAAATTATTTGTTCCCCATTTTATTAGGCATATTGTCTAAATTAATTCAATGAACATTAATATGTCAGATATTCATAAGAATACAAGCAATTTAGATTCACACGCTCCACTCCTCACAGCTGAAACATTACACTTTCTGAATAGCACATAAGCTCTTGATTTGAAAGAAAAGTGGCTCTTCTTAGTCTCTGCTTTGTCACATATTAACATGCGAATACATGCAGATGTTAAAGCTATGGGAAAAGGAGGAAACAAATGAAAGAAATACAGATGTGTAATAAACATTTTTACCCATGGAGCTGCAAACTGTTTTGTGTTGTCCACTTCTTCCATACATCAATGTTTTTCCTCATGGTTCCATCTCCACTGTAACAGAGGTTGAACAGATTTGTATTATTTATGGACAAAACTCATTTCATACTCAAGTCATTTATAACAACAAAAAATTAACAGTCCTTTTCCCATGTTAACTAGTTCTCCTATGCTATACTGTTTGTTTCTACACTATCTTTGTATTTCAGTATCCTGACTGTAAGTTCAAAATTTGAAGCCCTTCAACTGACCAAATTTAAGTATCAATTGGAATGAAAAAAATTCACCTTGATTTGGTACCCCATTACCTAAGACAGTTTAAGGCATTCATCTGTTTTGGAAGTTACTATAAATCATAACACACTAAGTGACTCAAAAAGCGTAGCTCAGTAACACAAAAATTCTAGCACTGCACTAAAATCTGTGTATTGAAGATTATATGCAAGTTACCTGCAGGGGACGTCACATAAAATTCTGTCATAGAAGAGGACCTCTTTTCCTCCATCAACATCTATTTGTAGATTAGGAATGCTGGAGGCATCATGATTTACCACCATGATGCACGGGCTGTTTAATCTCTTAGCCTGATGAACCAGCAAATAGCAGCGCTTGTTGTCAACATCATTAGCAATCACAAAACCCTCTGGGAACATAAAATAGTGGGAAGATGCTTTACAATTCAACAGCTAAATAATTTTACATAGCTTATTGGCTTATCTTCAAAGTTGTGTAAACCTTTCACTAGAGATTTTTTACTTAAAAGACTGCTTATGAATAGAGGAGCCCTTACTGAACATAAAATAACATAAAGCATGTTGAAGTTTAACTGCTGTGTCAAATATAGTCTCAAGAGTTCTAACTTCCATGCAGTTGCAATAAGATGCAACCCAAAGCTCTTCAACTTTTCAAAGTAAAACCCTTGTAACAGAGGATACCTCCACTGCCACCAAAGACAATCTCCGTGCATCAGCAGATTTTCAGTAGAACACAGAAAGAATCCACTTCCCCCAACTTCACAAACTATTTTCTGTGAGCATCTAACTGAAAGTAAAAACTCTGAAACTTACAGTAAAGGTAACTATCATGACCATTTTAAGGCTAAAGCAGCTTAATCCAGTGTTTGCAGAATACCACTAAAACACAAGGGCTTATGGGCCACCATCTACCAAGTAAATCTGATTCATATACAAAAATTAAGATCTAATCAAACATACTATAGTCTGAACTGTGAAGATATATATATAGTCCGTCTTTCTCCTTCAAGGCAAATGAAGCCCAGAAACTTTCAAGGAAACGGTGGGGTACTTCCCATCTCATATCACTCAAACATTTTGGAAAATCATTATTTAGTTAAATGCAGCTACTTATCTGTGATATTAAAAAATAATCTTCTACAAGGATAAGCAGAAATTCAATGTCACAAAAGTTTTCGGTAGTTTTTCCAGACTTACTGGGAAAAGGAACACTCATGTCTGCATGCAACATCTCAATGAGTTGTGCAGTCTTAGATCCAGGTGCAGCACACATATCTAGAATCTACAAACACCAGAAAGTTAAAAAAAAAGTCCCATCCTGTATTATTTAAATAATTGATAAATTTACTATGTGTTCAAGTTTAAGTTAAATATTTCTGCATACACTTGAAGAATTATGATCGTGCTGAACACCAATTTGCAAAAACAAAGTACAGTTCTGTTCTTTGTATGCTTTTTCTCTGAGGGGTCTAATATATAAAAAAGGACTTTGGTTTGCACGGAAGAAATACATCTGCTGACAAAAAATTTGACAGAGAAATATGAATACAGATATGGGAATATGGTCATTTTATCAGCTCACAAGCAATTCTGACTGAAGTTAACTGAACTTTACATATACACACACATTAAGAGCAAAGTTACATTCAAGAGCAAGCACTACTTTAACTATCAATAAATTAATCAGAGACTATTAGACACAGCTAATTTTATAAAAATGAACTGCTCTCCCTCCCCACACATTTTCACTTTAATGAAAAAATCAAGGGAGCACAAACTGCTTGTTTCTATATCCTGGAAGAAGCACTTGGGAAGTATTTGAACTGCCCTCATGCAGCAGAACAGAACAGCACAGGCACCAACACCTGATTTCGAGTATATAGTGAACCTCCCAGTTCATTGCAAACTTGGCTTGTGATCAAGTCATTCATAGAATTACTTTCACAGCAAACCATCTGACAGCTGTTTTCTTAAGTAAGGAAGCTCAGAGTCTTTCCTCATGCCTAGTTACAGATTTTCAGAAGCATATGACTATCTTCTGGACCTTTAGCTCCAGTAAAAGTTAGCTGAAATAATGCAACAAGATAAAAGATGGGGATGGATCTGCTCAGATCCATATGCAAGCCCCTGGCATGAACAAGACTAAACCCTGCAATTCTGGTCGTAACAAGCAGCTCAGAAAATAAGGTACCAAGGACCATAAAAGGTCCTAAATTACAACAGCCAAGGCATCATGACAGCAACCACTTGCTGTCTTGTCACAAGACAGGATAAAGAACCTATTCTGAGTCTGACTTATGAGCAAATTTGTGAAATTTTACATGCATTTTTGGAAGGTGCTTGCTGAAATACAGTCACCAAAGTTAAACTTTCAACGCAAAACACATATACTGCTAGCTAGTATGTGCAATATAAGTGAGGTGTGTGCAAAAATATTCTCACAGTTTGTGTTTTACATTAAGTCAAACACATTCAGTACTTGCTCAATTGCAGACAAAACTCAAAATGCACATGTGACACTTTGGGACTGAATCTATCACTCAATTCATTATTCATCTAAGAGATGAGAAGACATGGCTTCACATAAAATAGCCATCAGCCCTGTGTCATGCATTGGGTTGGGGTGAAAGTAAGAAAAAAACTGAAAAGTTACATATGCTAAGCAATGTTAATATATAAGTGAGTATGTACAAACAAGTGTTTAAAACATGTAGGTCAGAAAGTTGAAAGACTTAAAATTTTGAGATACAACATGAAAATTTTAAGAAAGAAGTGCACATGGCTGCTTGAGATAGCAAGGCACTTCTAACTAGCTTGTTAATTTAACAGATTAAGAGAATAATGCCATCCAACAGAGTATGAAAACAACACTAAGGTTAGGACAGCAGTTTGCTACCAGATACCCCCATTCCTACAATCTGCCATTAGAAAATATCATGGGCATTCCTTAGACACCTCAGTTAAAGTTAGTAACCTATACAGTTTAGCCACCATCAACAACATGCTTCAGCTCACTCAAATTATTTTGCCTAACAGATTTATAGAGCAGAAGTTTGCAACTTCTTCAAAAGGCATAGCGGGGTGAAAACTACCGGGTAGACAACACTATCATTTGGATCTGGAAAACTACCTCTGTTCACAGTGTGATGGACAGCAGGAAGTTCAAAAGAGTCATCTATCTTTAAAAGGGGGTTGAAACATGCCTATGTAACTTAGATGCAGCTAAATACCTTTACACTTGAAAGTAAGATTATGTAACTACTTAAAACTTAAGTGTTTTTTGCAGGGTATTACACAGAGCTGAACAAGTAGATGTCCCTCTGACAGTGTATATGTTACCTGAACACTAGCTGACTGCTCTTGTTTACAGGCAGAAAGCATAAAACATACCAACACAAACCAGAATTGTGCATCAGCATTGACACGGCTGTTGTAATTTGTAATTTCATCTATTTTATAGGAAAAAAATCAAGTACACTGTATATTCTAGTTACCTTATGATGAGGGTTAACATTAAGCAGCAGAGGTGGGATCATACTAACAGCCTCCTGACGACTGATATTTCCCTTGAAAGGAAAAATAAATAAATAAATTCCTTTTGTTTAGCATTATTTTTAAAAAAATTCTCTCTATAAAAAAATAATAAAGCAATCAAACCCACATTATTATAAATTTAGGATTACATTTTGTTAGCATTTAACATCAACAACAACAAAAAAATCACAGTATTTCATCCAATCGAAATTTCTGAGAATTGCGTATTTACTCCAATTTTGTTAATTCTCTGGATATAGTTTCTGCTTAAAACACATGAGAAGCTGGCTTCAACCAAGTGATAAATCTCCATTACTAAAGGTAAGTCTTGTTACATACACACATGCACTCTTTACGAGACTTAAAAATCTGTTTTCTAACAGTAAATAATTATTTTATAGTGACTCATTTTCACACTCCCAAACAAAAAAACCTGCAATTAAGTTTAGGAGAAGTATATGCAACTGCAGTTATGTGCCAGAGTTATGCGATGAATCACTGTCAGCAGCAACATAAAGTCTTCCAAGCTAGTCAACTTATTGAGACTGCACCCTTTCTCTTATATCTCATAATGCTTTTAAATAAAACACTGCACAGGATATGAAATAGAAAAAAAAAAAAAAAATCAAGATCTATTCAAAACTTACACATTCTGTCTCGCTAACCAGAAACTGATGAAACTTTTCCAGCTGTGGCGACTTGCGTAAGATTTTTCTGCTCAAGTTAGTGTGCCAGGCTAACTCTTCTGGATACCTGGGGGAAAAGAGATGGGAAAAGGGTGGAAGCAAAAGAAAGAAACCGAGCTCGTCCAGCTCGGTGTCGGGAATACACAGGGTGCCTTATTTTGCTTCCAGCTCGCTTACCAGCTCAGCGGCTGCGGCATTTCAACTTTTTGGCCATCCACCTCCAGGTCCTGCAGCTCTCTGAAGTACTTTTCCTTTAAGCAGTGGAGAATCTCTCTGGCGTGGCTGCAAGAGAGAGACCCGCGGAAGGCGACCGGATGGCGACACACCTTCTTCAGACGACAGAGGGGCCTCCGCCGCAAAATCGGCGGGGCCTTGCCACCGCAGGGTCCCCCGGCGCGCCAGGCCCCCTGCCCACCCCCAGGCCCTACCTCCGGTAGCCGGTGATGCGCAGCGTGGCGGGCAGCGGCTCCCTCAGCGCCGCCATGAAGGCGCCCCACTCGCCGGCGGGCACGATGCCCAGCTCCCGGTAGTACCGCTCGAACAGCTCGTTCTCCTTCACGATCTCGGGGTAGCCGCCAGCCCAGCACTGAAACACGCCGCCACTGTCAGCCTGCCGGCCCCGCTGCTTCCCTTCCCTTCCCTTCCCTCCCGTCCCCGCCCCGGCTCTCACCGCCTGATCCACGCCGCCGCCGCCGCCGCCGCCCGGCTCCTGCCGCCGCTGCCGCTGCCACCTGCGGTCGCGCGCGCGGCGGCCCATGGCAGCCACGCACCGGCCCAGCCCCGCCGTCGCGGCAGCCCCTCCCGGCCGCGGGGCCGAAAGGACTCCGCACCGCGTGCTCGCTGCGAGACGCGATCACGCGGGGCCTTCCCCCTGCCCCTCAGACAGCCCACTTCCGGGCGTGCGTTGCGCCGCGTTACGTTACGTTACGCTACGCTACTTCGCGTCGCGGCGCCGCCCCGGCGCGGCGGAACTTCCACTCGGGAGCGCTTCTCCGGCCGGCGGCGGCGCCACCAACCGGAGCGGGGTTTGGGGGGGAGCGGAGCAGCTCAGGCCCCGCCCCAAGGCGCCGATTGGGCGGTGGCGGCGGGCGTGCCGGCGGCCGGCCGCTGAATGGAGGCGGTGGGGCGCGCGCGCGGGCGCTCGCTCGCCTGCGGTGCGGGATGGGGGACGATGGCGGCGGCGCGTGCGGGTTCTGGCGGCGGGCGGCGGGCCCGGAGGAGCGGCGGCTGCTGGAGCTGCTCTCCTGGGGACTGGTGGCGCTGGGCGCCGCCTCCGCCACCCTGCTCCTCTTCATCCCCATGCCCTACGGCCGGTACTCCTCGCGGCGCTTCGGCTGGCTGCTGCCCGCCCGGCCCGCCTGGGCGCTGCAGGAGCTGCCCGCCCTCCTCATCCCGCTGGGGCTTGGCGCCTGCGGCGGGGAGGTCGCCGCCGCCTGGCCTAACCGCCTGCTGCTGGGGTGCTTCGTCCTGCACTACGTGCACAGGTGCGGGGGTGTGGGTGGGGGGGGGTGTGGGTGTGGGTGGGTGGGCGTGGGTGTGGGTGGGTGGGTGCATGTCCCCGCGGCGCCCGGCTGCAGGTCCCGCTCGCCCGGGGCGGCCGGAGAAGCGCAGCTCGGGGCCAGGCTTGAGGGAAGTGACCGGCGGCGGGGATCCGGGGTTCTCTGCTCTTCCTTAGCGTTTGTTGCTGAGCGTGCTAATCGCCGAGGTCTTTTTTATTTTCCGCGCAGACGTTCCACGTTCCTAGGCGAGCCGGGCAGGTCGTTGTGGCGGCGCGGGGCTTGCCGCTTTGTTTTGCCGGTGCGCGGGGTGCGGTGGGGTGCCGCGGCGCCTTTCAGAGTCGGCGTCGAAACGGAGCGTTTGGGGCTGCGTGCGGTGTCATCCGTACCCTACAGCCGTGGCTCTTGGGACGGTTCCCGTTTAAGCAACGACTTGATCAGATAACCTTAAGTACATAATGTTCCAGCAAGGAAAGTGCAGCTCTGGATCCTGATACAACTTCTTAGTTTTGTGGAACAGCAGCTATTTTCCGATTATGTCTTTCAACACAAGTGTTCATTTCGGGAGTTGGACTCGATCACTCTTGTGGATCCCTTCCAGCTCAGCATATTCCGTGATTGATTAAAACATGAGGAAAGCTGGGACTGAGTGTTGGGTGTTGCCGTGTAGTCAATGGTATCTGGGTATTTCGTAAAACTGCACAGGTGAAGGCAGCTTAGCTGGAGCTCACACAAGATTTTGCTCTTTCCTTCTAGTCACTGGCAATAATTACTGGTGTTACTCCACAAGTAATTTTGTCACCATACTAATACAGCAGAGATAGATTTGTCAGGCTGATTTTAAGCCGAGCGTGTGGCTGATATGCAGTTGTTTTCCCATGCTTATTGCAAGAGGCTGGTGCCTTTGACCGACAGTATTCCACATCCTCACAGCTGAGAGCAATGCAAAGTACGGCTACCTGGTGGGTGACCAGCTTTGCAAACCCGGGAGTGTGTCTTTACTTCCTCTTTTTGCATTTTTAAGAGTAAAGGGATTAGCTTAAGCATGGGATCTTATGGGAAAAGCTAGGAAATGAGAAGCAGAGGTTTGTACAGAAAGCTGATCTGTACTGCAGTTCCTTTTTTCTAGTTGCTTATTGCTGTTGCCGGACTGAGGGACTGTTCTGTAGGTGAATGTAGACTGGAAGAGACCTCTGTTAGCCAATTCTGTTTGGTGTAATGTAGTGGGGCTTTAAATAATCATATTAATGAATTTGTCATGCTTTCTTGAAAGCTGTTATGGTTTTGCTTCCTCTGGAAATGCTCCTTTAAAGCAGTAGTCCCTTGGCAGCTAAAAACCATGTGGTCATTGCTCAGGTTTCAGTAGTCCTGCTCCTAAATCATAGATTGTAATTAAATTGGTAGGTGATTGGGAGTTGGCATGTGACATGGGACAGAGCACAAAAACATTCACCTGCTTTTTTTTGTTTGTTTGTTTGTTTAGAGCATGTTTGTTTATTCAAGTAATCTGGGAATCAGGGTTCCTTTCCCAAATGGGATGGCAGTTGTGACTTTGTCACATTTTAACAGGTATCATAGGTTAGACCAAGATTGTCAAGGCAAATCAATTAATGTTTTTAAGTGACTTTCAGGGCAAGGAGGAAGCTGAACTCAGTTGCATTAATTTCAAGGGGATTGACTTTCACCACTGAAGGTGCTGGTGGATTTGGTGTAGGGATTGTGAGACCTGGCTCATTTCATAAAGCTTGATGATACTACCAAGGATTTAGGACCAAAGGAGGACAAAAATATGTTGTGCTTAACAACAGTTGTCTTTGCTGCTCTGGTTTAATTAAAAGTAATTGCCTTGGATACAAAGTTCAAAATTTCCATCTTAAGGGGAGAGAGGGCTGATCTTGTAATTCCAATTAGGCAACAAAGTTAACCTTTAAGTAGTAAAGCAAGCATAATTATCTTCTGAACTGGGATCAAAGAGTCTGCTGAGAATTTGAAAAGAAGGATAATGCAGACTATGGATTACAGTTTTGAACATCAAAATTATCTTTTATGTTTGTTAATGCTACAAATTTTCTTTCCCTTTCGTTCACTACAGGGCACTCATATTTCCTCTTCTGATCCGGGAAGGAAAACCAACACCGTTTTTCACTTTTGTGCTAGCACTTCTGTTCTGTGTTTACAATGGATACTTGCAAGGCCGAAGCTTAAGCAACTATGCAAAATACCCTCCAGGCTGGTTAAAAGATCCACGTTTCATTACAGGTGAGTTAAAACATGTTATGAGAACATTAGGTGTAGTTTTCCTTTGTCTTCACAGCTTTTTATTTTTTATTATAATTTTATAGTGTCTTCAATCCCATTTTACAACTTTTCTTGTAGTTAATTCTCTTGTTTGCTGTAGCTGGAAGCATTTTAACCTTTTTGAATTTAGAACAGTGAACTGACACTTCTTTCCACAATGTCAGTGCTAGATGAGCTGACTCATCTTTATTCTTTAACACCAAAGTAAGTATGGGTCGTGTATTTTTTTTCAGTATAGGAACCTGAGGCCTTAAATGGAACCAGCAGCATACAGGTTTAGAACAAGCAAAACGATTTCCCACATAATGTGTAGATTAAACTGAAATCCCATGTTTCTTGATGTTTTAGGTACTTAAGGTATGTATGTGGTCAAACAGAAGTGAACAAGTTAATTGAGTAAAAATCCAGTAAGGGTAGGCTGCTAAATACCAAGATATCACTTCTAGTGCCAGAAGTCCTTGGTGATCGGTTATTTACATGGGCATACACACACATGCACCATCCCACCCACCCTTGTAACAGGAACAGGCTTTGTCAGAGAACAAAACTGGCCCACAAGGAAGGAGATGGCAGGGTTGATCGCTCACTCGTATCAGGAAGTGAGGTTACATTTATACTTGAAGCTGTGAATATGATTAAAAGCATAAGATGTTTAGTGACAAAGTAGTGTCTTTGCCCTATTTTTTTATTTCCTGGGCATCTACTTTTGCCTGCTGTCGAAAATGTCATATCATTTTCCAAGGAAATCTTTACAGAAAGATTTTTTTGATCTGAAGATAAACCAGAATTTTTTGCCTTATCAGTCAAAGGCAGAATACTGTGCTGTGTGGATCCTTGATCTGACCCAGTTGTTCTTGTTATTCTGGAGCCAGAGCAAGCCAGTGTTTCTCTCTGATTTCTCAAGCCTTTTACAGCAAGAATAAGAAGTTTTTCTCTTTATGACAGTGTTGTTGCAGATGACAATAGAGGACTACTCTGTCTAAATGCTGTCATGACTATAAGATTGAAGAAATTTAAATCGAAATAGATTATCTTGCCAAGATTAGGAGGCAGTACTGCTTGCTCTCTGAAATGGAGAGATTGAGGTACAAGGGAATGACTTCAGTGGGCGCTAGGCACTTGGATAGACTTGAAATTCTCTTGGTACTTTTGAATTCCTGTGTCCTTAAACTTGGATCCAACAAAAAAACTGATTAAAAGATCTGTTGATCAAAACTGTTGAAGAGAGGTGCAATGTAGGCCTTATTTCTGGTGTCCCAGTTTAGTAACTTAATTAAAAGATATCTCAATACTGTAAACAAATAATGAGTCAGGAGCAGTGTTCTAGTTCTTCAAATGCATCTGTCTGTCTTTAAGTCTCTGTTTAAAATGACTAAAAAAAAAAAAAAGTTGAGTAGAAGATTAGAAAATAACAATAGCAAGAAAGCATATTTGCTGAAGGCTAACAAGATATTTCTTCAGTCTATATGAAGTTACATGTGGAAGAGAAATGGGAGATTATCTACAAGTAGCAGCCAAACAAGGTTTAATAGTTGGAAGCTGAAATGAGATAAATTTGCAGTGAAGACAGAAGCTTAGAGAAGTGAGGCTGATAACGATCACAGTGGGAAGTTTCAAACAAATGATGTGTCCTCTGTCTGGAGCCTTAGTATAGTGATTGTATTTTCAGATGTTTAGGAGTTAGTTCTAGGAAAGCAATAGCTTAGTTCTAGAGCAGCAATTGATTTGGAGCAGCGATACAGTTCTGACGTCATTCCCTCATGGTTTCTCTGGACTGTGTGTTGGTTTAGTTCAGAGCAGTGAACTTATCTGTTTTCAGAGGAAATGGAAATGTTTGGCTTTAAATGCAGTACAGCACTTGATAAAATCATGAGCTTCCATTCCAATGTGGAACAACTTCATAATCTTTCAGCATGTACCTTACACATGTGTGCCAATAGGATGCTTGTGAGTTTACCAAGACAACCCATGATACGCTGAAGTGGTGAATGCTACAAACAGGGAGGCATATGCACCTGTGTGATTCATCCTTGTGTTCTTTCCTAATCTGTCTGCACTTCTAGTTGGAAACTCCTTCCTTCCTTTGCTTGCTTTATCTTCATCAAACCTTCTGCAGTATGCCAAATGTCTTTCCTTATTCCTTTAATTCCCCATTCAGTGGCTAACCTCCTGTGTATCAAAACACTTTTCTTCACAGCAGCACCACCTGTGACTCAGAAGATGCAGGTGATAGAACATCAGCACCTAGTCTGCTTCATGAGGCTTCTTATCTGGCAGTTGGGCAACCAAGCACACATGCCATCTCTGCCCTCTACACAGAACAGAGGGCATTGTCTGTATCTGGATATGGTCTCATGATCAAGGAATGTGAGTCATTCAATATCTCTCCTATTATCTGTAGTCATTTAGATGCTCCAGATGATCTTGTGCCTTCTTGGAAAGACTAACTACACAATTTGAGATGAGGCACTGGTTCACCTGAAGTGTCTACCAGATACTTTCAGCGCAGCTGTAGAAACTGGCCTCCTGTTGATTCTATACATTACCTTGCACTGCATATTCTTGAAACCTGGAGTGGGGAGGTGAACCAGAGAGCAGTTACCATACTGTGACTCTGAAATAGCCTGCAGAACGAGAGTAGGTCTTTTTGTGTGAGATTCTGTATGGGTGAGGGTGAACAGGGTGCTGGTGCAACAATGCTATTCTGTTGAACTAGGTCATGTGGTGATATAGACCTAGTTACTGCCTTTCTTATGCAAGTGTTGTCCTAGTGTGAGTCAAGGTCTTAATCTCTAGGTTTATCCTGATGAAGGAAAAAACCCTCTTCAGTTTAATAGCCTCGTGAGGTCATCATGTGTGGTGCATCCTGTGGTTCTGAGAATCCACTGGAGTATGCTGCGGCTCCCTCCCTGTCTACATATCCATGTTTCCCTGTGGTGGAGGCCAAGTCATGCAGATCATGGTGCATGACCAGCTCTTGGCTTTGTAGACTGCAGTCCTAGGACTCGACAATGGTGAGGATCTGAGGATGAGGACAGTGAAGTACAATGCCCACAGGGAACATGGTTATACAGTACTTCAAGGGAAAGTGGATGTTTGAGTTGAAGAGGGCTGCTGTGAAAATAGCCTACATTCATCGACTTGTTGTCCATGAAGAGAGATTTGATTGTTTCCTTCTGACATGATGGTTTTCAAGTAGGAGGGGTAAAAATGCACAGAATCAAACTAATCTTCTATAGTAATTGGGCACTCTTAAAGCAAGCTCCAGTCTTCTTGCATTATCTGAAAATTTCTTAGTAGTTCGCATACTAATTTACAAATAGCTACCAATACAGAATGCACAATTAACATTATCCACAATTATAGTGGCATTTCAGAGGAATCAAAGGGTTTCTAATTTCCTCTCCAGAGAAAGTATCAGGTATAGAAAGAATACTAAATTTCTAACTTCTAGTATAGACTTTTCCTCATGCTGAAGTAATTTACTTCAAGTAAATACTTCAAGTAATACTGACATAAATTAGTAGAGATATTGTTTACACTTAAGTAGAATTAATTTGTCTGTGTTAAGAAATTTCCTTTCAAATTATTGGATGGATAGAGAAAAAGACTGACTTAATTGTAGGCATAACATGCCTTGTTTTCCAGGGTGGTCTCATCTTCTCTGGTAACTAGCAAACTGATATGTAATTACTAATGCTAAGAGAAGCAAACTGTTTTTGTCGCTGGATGCAGTGGGGATTCAATATTCTGTGTTTTGAGAGAGATCTGTTTTGAAGGAAAAAAGTTAAAATTGTCTGTTTTCCTAAAAGCAGAATTCAACAGCATTTGAATTATTCATCCTGTGGTTTTGAATGCTGTCATTATATGACTTGGTCTGTAAATTCCTCATGACATTGATCTAATCTATCTCACGATGTTGTAATTACATTGAATACATAGTTGAAAAGATTATGATAAAATTTTACTACAAAAGACGCTTAACATGTGGCATCTATACACCTTGATTGCTAATGCAAATTTACATGCTTGTTCGCAGGACTAAATTCTTCTAGTTTTGTCACGTAAGCAGATTGTAACAATCTAATCAAACAACATTTTTTACTTATAGAAGTATATATGAAGAGAGCTTTCATTCAGAAACCTCAATTTCTCTGCAGAGCAGTCATTTCTTCCTAATCCATGTGGAAGCAGACAGCTAGGTCCTTTAGGCAGATGCAGCCTACAAGGGATTGAGAGAAGAAAGCTGCCTATCTAACGATTTGTTTGAGAGGCAAGGTCCACTTACAGCAAGTTCCACTTACATTGTAGCTTCACTTCAAAAGTGGTAAAGTATGCTCTGGCAACCTACTAGTATTGCAACATGGCCTTATACATCTAGATATCCACTTAGTATCTTTACTGAGATGGTCAGACTACTGGATTTCTCTGTATTGAAAGAGAACCATCTGAAAGGCTCAAGTTATGGGTGCACAAAGGCAAAGCTTTCTTTATCTGCTGTGTGAAGTGACTTTCTTCTAGTAGCAATTTCTTGGTAATTTAAATAAAAATCAATAATTTTGGAGGTGGATTCGAAACAATACAATGGATCTACCATTAAAACCTGAATCTTGTCTGCTCCTTGTAACAAGGAATGCTGCCTTCAGATGAAGATAACATTGGGAACATACATTGGTAGCCAAAGACTCAACGTGGAAGGGTGAAAATACCGAGTTTCAATCCTCAATTCCTTTTTGCAGTTATTGCAACAAGACATAAGGATGCAGAATGCAACAATAATCCCCATTTCTATGAAAGCCTGGTATAAATGGTTAAACCATTTTGATGATTGACACAAGTAAATGCTGCATGAATTCCTTCACAATGTTGTTATTCCTTTTATTGCATGGAAGTCTGCTGTGGAAAATCTGGTATACTGTCAGTTAAAAAGAAAAAAAGGGGGTGGGACTAAGATATGTCCTTCTGGCAGGAATGACAATGTCTGTTTCTTTCAGTGTTTAAAATTTTAATGTATTTGTTTTTCAGTGTGGAATTTAGGGAAATACACACTTTATGTCTGTATATATGCATACATTTATGTAAGTCTAGCAACATAAGAATAAACTTTATACTTACAGTACTATTCCTGTCTAGAGACCTGTTGATTACTGTGAGCTCTTCTGACTGAAGAGCTCAATGTGGGTCTGGGATTGTGCAGGATCTCACCAGGATTGCTTATACTGTTTACATTACTACTGCTTTGAGATAATACATGATATATGACTGTAGTTTGTTTTCTGGACAAGCACTTTGGCTCAGTGTATTAAAGATAGTATTTTAAATATTTTGTCTTCAGGTTTTATAGGGTGGTTGATTGGCATGGCAATCAATATTCATTCTGATCATATTCTTAGAAATCTGAGAAAACCAGGGGAAACCGGTTACAAGATACCAAGAGGTGAGTAAATGTTACAGAAATTTATATAGTAAAGTAAGCATCTTGTATGAGGAGAGGTAGAGAGCTGGGACTGTTCAGCCTGGAGCAGAGAAGGCTCAGGGGGATCTTACTGATGTGTATAAATACATGATGGGGGAGGGAATGAAGAAAGGAGCTAGGCTTTTCTCGGTGATGCCCAGTGAGAGGACCAGAGGCACTGAGCACAGAATTCAAACATATGAAGTTACATCTGGACACATTTTTTGCAGTGAGGGTGGTCAAACACTGGAACAGGTTGCTCAGAGAGAGGTTGTAGAGTCTCCATCTGTAGAGATACTCAGAACCAGTCTGGAAATGGTGCTGGGCAGCCTGCTCTAGCTGACTCTGCTTGAGCCAGGGGGCATTTGGACTAGGTGATCTCAAGAGGTCCTTCCAACCTAAAATGATTCTGTGTAAAGGTGACCTTCTAAAGCTTGGTGTATTTTAGGGGAGATAGTGATTTGTGATATAAAAGGAAACTGGAAATAGCAATTTTTTCTCTACATCAAAGTGATTTCATAGTGTGGGAAACATTTTAAGTTTTTTTTTCTCTTACGCCAAGTATTCTAAGGGATCTGTTTCATGATATCACATGGATCGTGCAAGTCTTTGAATTTCTTGACCGAATTTGGCTGTATTTTTAGAAAGTGGTAAAAATGTAACATAGCATTCTACAGCTTCTATGAGAATCAGCAAGTGGGTGAAGAAAGACCACCCAATTTATCATCCCCGTTTGGGGGCACAAGGGGGAAGGCAGAAAGTACTCAGCAACTGTGTGTGGCTGACCCATCTTATGTTGCCTCACATCTGAAGAGGGAGGGATCTTTGGTAACCGGAGAGCAACAGCTACTGAGGTAGGGAGACACAGGGAAAAGAGGACAGAAAACCAAAGGAAGTTAGGCATTATAAATGCTGGCCTTCATGGGAAAATGGAGAATATGAAAAAACTTCTTATGGAGCCTACTGAAATGTTAAGGTTTATTGACACTTTTGGAAACATTAAACTCTTCCAGGTATATTACACTCAGTGAGAGCAGAAAAATAATAATTACCTCTGAATTGTGATGTTGCTCTAAGTTTTTCCTTTAGTTGGTGCTCTCTCTTGGTTTTAGTGAGATTTTTTTTAAGAGTGAAACTGGGAGAACTAGTTATGTAAGGCAGTAGATGGTTATTTTTCACCAAGAAGGAAACTTTATAATTTTAACAGATGTAAATCCAAGTGTCCATATGAAAAATTAATATGAACATACTGCACTATATCCAGTGTACAAAAAGATTCCAAAGGATATAAGATGTTATTTGCTGCATGATCAGGAAGAGTTGGCCTTTCTGATATTGCTTATCCAGTTTAAGTGCTAGAATTCTGCTCTTCTTTTGTCACAAAAGCAAAGAAATTAAAGCAAAGTCAAAAGATGTCCTTTATTACACTTGGCAAATACTTGTTTGTTTAGTCCTACTGGAAAAGCACATACTGAGATGTTATCAATTTGTACACTGACTTTGGAATTAGGGTGAAAGTTCTTATTTTATAAAATTCCCAGCAGGTGAGTACTGCTTGTTTATGCATAATTGGCTCTAAAACACATTTAACGCAGACTGCCAATTACTTCTTTCACTGAGTGTCAGGGCTGAAGCAGTAGACCTGACGGGATTGGGGAAAAAAAGGGCAACACATCTTAAGCTAGAGGGTAAATTAGGAACTTTAATTAACAATAATAATATTGTTCATAATTAAGTTAATTTCTGAAGTACTTAAAGAAATTGAACATTGTGTGCTAACTAACCCTATGGGTATTTTCTGGGACTCCTAAAGGGGAACATATTTTCTATTTTTACATATTTTAAAAAGTTTTAATTTATGATCAAAGAGCCAGATTGATATAATTGTTAAGTAATTATTTACAGAGGCATGAGCTCACTTCTGATACTGGTAAGTCTGCTTATCTTTCATGATTTAAAGAGGAAGAATGGAGCTGGAGAAGGTCTGTCTTAGCATGAGGTCTGAAGTGATCCTTCATAATACAGCTTGAACTGAAAAACACTGCCTCCACTGCCTTTAAAAATTATATAGAGATATTGGTGTTATAGCTCTTATTTGACTTACAGTAAAAGATAGCATTGGAGATCTCCTTGATTATTAAAGTGCTTTTAAAATAACTCTGTTCTGCTTTCAGGAGGAATGTTTGAGTACGTCAGTGGAGCCAACTTTTTTGGAGAGATACTGGAATGGTTTGGGTTTGCCCTTGCCTGCTGCACCACTGAAAGCCTTGCATTTGCGCTGTGTACACTTTTCATCTTGGGTTCAAGGGCAAAACAACACCACCAGTAAGTGTTCGTGTCTTATAATTTCTGTTGTCTCTGCCACACTTAATTTCACAAATTGTGCTTCATCCCATAGGTATGTGGCAGAGCAAGTCTTGTGAAAGACTCTGCTAATGCAGTGGAGAATATGATAGAGAATACTCTGAGTATTCAGCACTGCAGAATTTCAATGGGATAGTACTGAACATACACACAGTGTACAATGAAGTGGTCAAAATAAAGTTTAAATTAACATAGTTAATCCCAGATCTTTAAAGATTAGAGACAAGTTTGGGAAAATTGTCTTAACTGATCATATAATATACTTTGCAGCTCAAACTTGTTTCTATAATGTTAACGTTTTGAAAATCACTCTAAAATGTTCTGTAACAGGCATGCTTTATAGTCAACTCTGTCTATACACTTGATTGTAGACAATATGATAATGTTAAAACAATTCTTGTAGATGACATTTAACAAAGTGTTCTGTAATTAGAGTCTGACTGCTAATATACTGTATTCATAATGTGGCTTTACTGCTAACAGAAGGATCATAGTTTGAGAAGACTTGTTTCTTGAAAGGATTCTCTTTAAGGGATAGCATGTTTAAAAGAATTTGAACAACTTAATCTTGGGTTATTTTCAGCATCCTGCTTTGGTTCTTATGCAGAAACTTAGTGGCATAAGGGGAAATAAACATGAATTTATGGAGGAAATAGATTGAAAAAAATGCCATTGCTAACAGTCTGTCAGGGCAGCCATGGCTGTCTAGTAGTGTCTTGAAAACCTCCAGAAACAGAGGTTTTCCTGCACCTTGTTTGTAGGGTGTTCCAGGTCTGTGTTACCCTCTCAGTGAACAAGTTTTTCCTACTATCCAACCTGAACCTTCCAATCCTGTTGCCTGTGACCATCTCTCCTTGGTTTGTCACCTGCTATTACTAAGCAGAGCTGCAGAATATCTTAGATTGGTAAGAGCATCTGAAGGTTGTCCAGTCATCTGGTGTGACCTGCTCCAACCAGGGCTAACAGCAAGGCTATACCTGATTGCCTCATCCAGTGAGTTCTGAGTCACTCCAAGGGTGAAGGCTTCAGCTTCTGACAAAGCACTGCAACAGGATTTTTCTCATTCTTATGGGGAAGAGGGTTTTTTCTTTACATCCATTTGGAATTTTCCATGTTGCAACTCTTATCCCCTGCCATTTGTCCACTTGCTGTTTGCCTTCAGGAAAGGTATGAGTCTGCCTTCTCTAATATTGCTGTAGGTAGTGGAAGATTGCAATTAGATCTGCCTCTTATCTTCTCTTCCTGAACAAGCCTAGTTCCCTCAACCTCTCCTCTTTACATGTTCCAGATATGCAGTCATCTTAATGACCATCTGCTGGATTGCTCTCCAGTCTGTGGGCATCTCTATTGCACAGGAAGCCAAAAACTGGAGGCAGTAATGCAGATTGCAGGCTTTCAACTGCTGAATAGTGGACAATAACAAGCACTTCCCTTGATCTGGTAGCTCTATAATTGTTAAAGCAGACCAGTATTCAGTTAGCCTTCATCATTGCTGGGATCCATTACTGACTTATGTTCAACTTGTCTACCAGGATGTTTATGTCATAGAATCATAGAATGGTTTGGGTTGGAAGGGACCTTAACAATCATCTAGTTCCAACACCTCTGCTATGGGCAGGGACTCCTTCCACTAGACCAGGTTGCTCAAACCACACTGCACAGCTTGGTGTCATCAGCAAACTTGCTGAGGGTGCACTCAATCCCACTGTCCATGTTACCAACAAACATGTTAAAGAGCACCAATCCCAACACTGACCCCTGAGGAACGCCACTCATCACTGCTTTCCACTTGGACACTGAGCTGTTGACCGCAACACTTTGAGTGTGACCAGCCAGCCAAATCCTTATTCACTGAGTGGTCCGTCCGTCAAATCCATGTCTCTCCAGTTTAGAGACAAGGATGTTGCACAAGTCAGAGTCAAAAGCTTTGCACAAGTCAGGGTAGATAATGTCAATTGCTCTTCCCTTATCTACCAGCACTGTAACTCCATCATAGAAGGTCACAAAATTTGTCAACCATGATTTCCCTTAGTAAAGCCATGTTGGCTGTCACCAATCACCTCCTTATTTTCCATGTGCCCTAGCATAGTTTCAAGGAGGATCCATTCCATGATCTTGCTGGGCACAGAGGTGAGACTGACTGGCCTGTAGTTTCCCAGGTCTTCCTTTTTTCCCTTTTTAAAAATGGGGGTTATGTTTCCGCTTTTTCAGTCAGCGGGAACTTCACTGGACTGCCACGTCTTCTCAAATATGATGGATAGTGGCTTAGCCACTTCATCTGCCTGTTCCCTCAGGATCTGCGGAGTCCTTTTGTGCAGAGCTGCTATCTAGCCAGTCAGTCTCTGGCCTGCACTTTTACATGGGGCCACTGCCTTCCAGCTGCAAGAATTTGCATTTCATTCATAGTTTTGCTCCATTGTCTTAACTCCCCATCTAGTACCTGTAGGCATCAATAACAGGGCCCCTTAGTCTCTTCCTCATCAGACTAAGCAATGCCAGGTTCCTCAGTCTCTCCTTGTATATTATGTTCTTCAGGCTCAAATTCCATGGTTGGTTTCTGTCTATCATAAGCCTTCATAGCACTCTTTCAGAGCTCCTGACTTAGAAAGCATTATGTAAAGCTAAACGTTGCTAAAGTCATTTACACTAAAGGAAAAATGCATAAAAATGGAAGAAGGGTACAGGGAAAAAAAAAAAAAAAAGAGCAAATCCATGTAAGTGAAGAAATATTTTGGTGTCATCTGCTTAGCTTTAAAAACTTAGAATAAATGTCTGAAAAGTATAAATTGTGTAATGCTGGTATTCCACAGCTGCAGGTAATCATGCATTGCATGTTTTGTTCTCTGCTTACTCCAGCTTTGATCTTGTAGTTAGCTATTGATTATATAAATATCTGCATCTCTGAGGATCCCAGATGAAGTTGATTCTTTTTGGTTTTTATTTTATTTTTTAATAAAAGAATAAATATTTCAAAATTGGAACAATGTGTTTGTTACATAGGTGACCAGACAAATAGTATTTGGTAGTGCTATGGATTTATTATTTTAAAATTGTCTGGATTTGAAAATAGTGGTGGTCATTGAGGGGGATTAGGAGTAAATCTAGTGTAATGTTTGTCACATTTAGTTTGATTATTCAGATCCTGACTGGAACTGAAGATGTTTCTATCCAGAACAAGACTGTCATTCCAGTATGTGAAGTATCCCTAGCTTCCACATGAAGTCATCATACAATTTGATATGTTATCCCCTTGAATGCTTTTGATTTTTTTTTTCCCCTTCTAAAATACAAACACTCAGGATGCATAACAACATACATTTTGCAACAACAGGCTATTCCTTCCCTGGCTGTTCTTGCCACATCTGTTGGTTGGATTTCCCATTGCTGGCAGCATTAACTTTGTTTTGTTGTATTTGGTGATTAGATGTCATTAGGATAATTGTGGTTAATGGCAATTTTCTATCCAGAGTGGGTTCTGAAGGTGTTTTTTTGGTTTGTAGCTAGGAAATATATGGATTAAATTGAATAGATTGTACAATTACTTAATCTCCTTGACAGTATTTTGAAGACACAATACTCATCAGATTTCTGTCTGTTTTTCAGATGGTACCTTGAGAAATTTGAAGACTACCCAAAGAACAGAAAAATTGTGATCCCATTTGTGTACTGAGCTGTGCTTTTAACACCGTTCTTGAAATGGATGCTTTTGTAATGGCTAACACTGTTAGGTGTTGGCAGGTTAACATACTCTGATCATCACTGTGACAAAGCCTTTGCATCAGTGCTGCTATTAGTTACTGCTTTTCCTCTTAATGAAAACTCAGAATCTGAGGGATGTGGTGAATAGGAGCAGAAATGCTTTTCCAACAGTGGAGCACCATCATAAATACATTAGGTAGTGTGTCTGAATTCACATAATGGAAAGTAATGTACAGGACTTCGATTTCTGTCTATGCAGGCTTCTGCTGCTTTCAATCTATCTAGCCATGTGGTCCTGAGGATTGTGCTGAGAGCCCAATGGTTGTTCTGCCTGTTATTTGCCTGCACGCACAAATGGGGTTGACTTTTTTTCCTTGCCTTCCTTTTTCCTTTGTTCCACTCACCTGCATTTCCAGGAGAACTGATGATGCAGACCAAGGACACTAGATGAAAATACTTGCTGTTAGGTGACAGTGTTCTTCCTCTTCTTTGCACTCTTAAACAGGTACTGACACTACAGATAATTCTTAATGCCATTTATATAAACAATTGTAGTGCTACCTTTCACAAATAATAGATTGTTGTCTACCTCTCAGATTTGATAACTGTCTTAATGTTCAATATGTTTTCTCACTCAACACTATTTTTTGGAAGGCATTCTTTCTTTGGGATACTTAGGCCAGTCTAGAACTGTTAACAATTGTGTAATGTTTCCTAACTTTTTAAAAAAACTTAAGATTTTTACAAAATTTGCTTACTATGCTGTTTAAAAAAAAATGAAGTGTCTTCCTTCTCCTGTTGATAATGATCTAGATGATTTTATATTCCAAAAATCTGGAATCTTTTACTGCTGCTTGTTTTATTAATCTCAGTTCTCATACCCCTACATTTTTCTCCTGAAGGACTCCAGAAGGGTTTCAAAAACATGATGGGATACCAAGCATACTGACTTTCAAGTTTCAGGCACATATGTGTCCTTTGAATCCTTGTGATATTAAAGAATTTTTTTAGAATGGCTAAAAAAAAAAAAAAAGAAATCTAAGAAATTCTACAGAAAATTTTAAAAATACCTGAACATCAAAACCCCTAAACACAAAACCCCCCAAACCAACAGCTGAATAACAGTAAGTAAAAAAAAAAAAAAAAAAGAAACAAAAAACCCAAACAAACAAAAAAAACTTCTCAAACACCACAAACTCTGCTGCTAATATACTTTGGAAGTCAATGGAAATCAAGCTTCTATCATGTGTCTTCTGATCTGTTTACACTGTATATGTTGGGTTATGTTCTTCAAAACAAATCGATAATAAAATTTTTCCAGATGCTGACTTTTCCAGTATGGTATTGCAGTAAGCTGTGTTTAAAGCTCAAAATTCTGTCTTTGCTGTTGAGTTACACTGCTGTAGTAATCAAAGTAATGTACCCGATGAACTTTACCTTTAAAATTTTATATAATAGTTTAAAAAAAGTACATTCAGGAAATGGGCAGTGAAAAAGGACTCTGTAACCCAAGCTGCTTCTTAACAGTTGTTTCTTCCTCCTCTTCTTCCTGCCTTGTTTATGTATTACTTACTGCACTGAAGTCTTGGCTATTATTAAGGATTTGTTCAGTGGTGTAAATAAGTGTGACAAAAATTCTATTGTTATTGACAAATAGTCAGTGGAAGGAGAGGGGATAGAAACTGTCAGTCCTGCAGTGATGATAACTTCTCCTACAGTGAAGCCCTTAGACTTCCAGTTGCACCTTGTAATGTTGACTGGGATGAGCAATCCTGCTCTCAGTGAATATCCCAAAAATCTAGCTTTGGGAGAACATAGGAATGCCTATTCCTTTGATGTCAGTGTCATCTCAAATTGTTTAATCATTTCTTGAGTGTTTACATCTTTCCTTAGTGTTTTACAGGAAGATTGAGGCTTCCCTTGTTTTTGTTAACACACTATAATTTGATATTTGATCCTAGCTGTTTTGATGAAGTCATGAAGTTCCCTGGCAAGAGGATGATGGGGAGTCCTAAATGCTAGAGTTAGTGGACCATGGAAGTTCAATGGGATCACTTAAAGCATATTTTGAAGAGAATTTTAGAAACCAAGTCATATATACCAAGATCTTTCTAAACCCTATCACATCCCTGTGGCAGTTTTTTAAATCTTGGTATCTAAATAATCCAGCTATCAAAATCTGCATTAGGGGAAAAAGTACAGGATTCAAAGAGCACTATCTACTCAAGTTGTTTAAATACTTGCATGGTTTATGGTGAACTAATATATCTTTAGGAATATTTGTTAAATCACTAACGGGACCACCAAAAAGATCTGGCTGCAGCAGTTGAGTCTCTAATCCACCACTTTTTTTTCTGATTTGTTTCTTTTTGGCCTTTTATGAAAAGGCAAAGATTCTTTTAATAGTAAACAGTGAGAGAAACTGGTTAGTGTTTAGTGTGTCTCCTTATATTCAAGAGCTGTAGCTCTCTCTAGTCAGTAGTCTTTATTGAAGTTCACAGAAAATTTGTACTGATGCCTCAGTTCTGCTCTGGTGCTATGCTGTTAAATATTTATCCTGATGAAAAGTTCAGCTGTTTTGCTCACATAATGTTCATTTATGGTTTATGTATAGCAAGGTGGGGATCTGAAATGTGATGCTCTTATAGTTTGTCTGTGTTCTTTCCCATACAGAAAAGTAAAAGCTAGGGTCTATGGGATGTGAATGTCGGTGCATTTAGAAATTCTAGTCAATTGGATTATAAAAAAACAGAGAGAATAAGGTTTTGTTCTTTGCATGTTTATATTTTATATTCTCTTAATATTGCTGGAACATTAAGTAAAGTACAGAATTTATTTGAGTTCATTAGAGAAGAAGTCTTGTGAGGAGTGGCTGAGGGAACCGAGTTGTTTAGCCTGGAGAGAAGGAGGCTCAGGGGGGAACATGTCATGCTCTACAACTACTTGAAAGGAGGTTGCCATGAGGTGGGTATCGGTCTCTTCTCCCGGCTAATAAGTGTTAGGACAAGAGGAAATGGCCTCATGTTACACCAGGGAGGTTTAGATTGGATATTAGGAAAAAAATTTTCACCAAAAGGGTTGTCAAGCACTGGAACAGAGTGCCCAGGGAGGTGGTTGAGTCACCATCCCCGGAGATATTTAAAAGATGTGTAGATGTAGGGACCGGATTTAGTACCTTGGCAGTATTACGTTAACACTTGGACTTGATCTTAAAGGTCTTTTCCAACCTAAATGATTTTATGATTCTTGCATTTCAAGACCAAGGTACATTGGTGAAAAACATACAATCAACTGGATCAAATGCTAGAACTGCCTTTTATATAAACAGTATCCCTTTTATTCATCCTACATCACTTGTGTTCCTTTCCCCTTTCAGCAACTTTGACAGAATTTTTATGTTTGAAAATGTGATACTGAAAAATTTTTATTGAAAATACGTAGTGTGGAAATGGACTCTGTTCTGCCCATTCCAGATGGAGAACATGCGCGCTTGTTATTTGGTATAATATCTGTAGCAATTTTTAAGAGACACTTCTATTCAGACTGTCTACATATTTCCCCCAAATCCTCTACTAATAAAATATGGTTTACGGTGTCTTGCTTGAATACTTTTTTTTTTCTGTTAGTAATCCTTGTTATAGCTTGCAGAGGTTGACCAAGGCCTTTGTACCAGAGATTTCATTATCACCAAAGAGGTCTTGAGGACTGTAGTAGTACGGTTGTATTAGAGTAACCTAGTTGCATATGTGAACTTGACGAGATGCACTCAAAAAAAAAAATTATTAAAAGCCACAAGATAAATTTGTGTAGTGATGTATTCTTAATTATGTAAAGCAAAGTATATACCAGAGATGTTCTACACTTGAGGTTAAAGCAAAGATTAACAGAAGCAGAGTCTACTTGTTTGGGTTCCTCTTCTGCTGCTAGGCCATGGTGAACTTTTCATTTGGAACAACTGTAGCACCTGCTGTTTCAACCATTTTAATTGTGGTTCAACAGCATATTGTCTTTTTGAGGAATGAAGATAGTGTATGACTTGTCACATAAACTTGCATTCTTTCAGCAGGCAAGAAATCCTGAGTACCTACCACAACTTTTACAGCCTATTTGGCAAAAACACCTCTAACAAACATGTTTGTTAATTTAAATAATTTAATAAATTTAGTATGAGAATTTCCCAGCCTGTTCTATGCTGCTAAGTTTAACCAATAATAGCTGCACTTGTCAGGCCAGCCTTTCACATATACATCAGCAGTTCTGTGAGAAAGACAGACCTCTGGGTAAAATTGCACCACTTTTTGCACTGATGCAATGTGTCTATCAGCATGTGTGTGTCCATGTGCCCACACAAAAAGACGTGAGCAAGCAATTGTGGGAATTTCTATTGCAAGATAACTGAAGGGATAAGCCTAAAACAAGGCCTGCATCTGATAGAGTTGCACAACTGCATCTTGTTATTAAGCTTCTTAAAAAGTACACTTTGTACATCCCTTCCTTGATTTACCATGCTTGCTTTGAAAGCAAAACCACTACATTATGTTTTGTTGTGTAAAAGCAGATAGTGGAAGCAACAGGTTATTTGTTCACAGAGATGAAAAAATAGTTATGTAACAGTTGGTACCTTTGGTATAATGCTTCTCTAGAGAGACTGCATTACCAGTGTGATGGCAAGAGTCCTACAGTGATGTTGTTTGTCCCTACTCCCTAATATTTGCAGCTTTTTTTTTTTTTTTTTTTTTAAATAACTGTCTACCTGTTCAGTTTCTGATAGGACATGCGTGGCTGGATCTGAAGAGGAAGCATTAGTGAAGCCACATATTCCAGCTGCTCTAGGAAGAAGTGCTCCATTTCTCTTGGGCTATTGAAAGGGAAAACCAGTACAAACTTAGATATAAACTCCTACCACAAAAGGATGAGCTGTATGATCATATCTATGATCAGTAGTTCAAATGTTGAGCAGTACTGTCAAGACTAAATAAGGACCTGTCCAATGTGAACTAGCAGAAACTACTGCAGGTACCTGCTATTACTCTGTCCTGCTGTATTGGGTTGGGAACCAATCTTTTTAATCCATATTAGTGCATCGGTGAACTGTTTGAGAGGCTTCCAGGTATGCCCTCCTGCCTCAAATGTTGTATTTACTGCAGGAGACCAAAAACCAGATGCTGTGTGGAGCCAGGATTTTGTTAACATGCAGGTGGCCCTGGGAGGAAACCCTATGAAAAAAGCCCAGTGCACTAATGCATATTTGTAGGATTTTAATGTTTTGCAAGGGCAAATACGTTTCCTCTTTTATTTTCTGTCTGCCTCTTTGAAAAATGGTGGCTGTACCGGAACAGGAGAACTGACTTGAAAGTCCCAAATATTATTCTGTAAGGGTTCAAGCATTAAAACAGAGTCATTAATATATACTAACATCAGTATCCAAGTGTACAAATAGTCTTTGGAATGCTTCAAATAATCCTTACAAATTTTGCCAGGCCTTAGAGCTAAAGACTAATAGATTAAGCATGATATCTAGCGTAAAACAATACAGTATATGATCATTACTGATAAAGTAATACCAGGAAAAGTAGTTTAGAAAATATGGATAGCTATGCAGATGGCATACAGCAGCATAGTCTTATGAACAGAAAACTAAATGACCAATTAAAAATGAGCTGGGATATTTTAATGAGCAAAAAGAGAACTATTTTTTTGATTAACAGGGTATAATTTTTATTAATTTTCAAGTGAGATAAGGTAATATATTTGATTAATTAGACTGTGATAATTTCACATTAGTCATTAAAATAGTAAGGGAAAAATCTGGCACTATGCATTAAACCTGCATTCACCCAGAGATTCCCATCTCAAGACACTCACAACCCTCTTTGAAATACGACCTCTAGGTGCAGATAAATTAGGTAAGGTTCTTCTGCTTTAATAGTTTAATTGCCACTAAGCATCCCCTAGGAAGTATTCCTGTAGCATCATTCCTGGGCATAATTTTTAGATCCATGGCTTAGAGTCATAAGAAGGAGTGTAACATGGAGCATGTAGCAGCAGCCCTTCTTATTTGAGGCATGT